CTAATATACATAGAGATAAAGAGATATTGCTTATATACATAGATGTCTTCTCTTTATTTATCTAGTCTCTGCTCTATGTCTTCTCTTTATTTATCTAGTCTCTGCACTTGGGCCCATAGCTTTTTGAATTAGAACATGTTGGCTTTTTTTATGAATGAAGATGATAGCATGATAGCAACCCACCCCTGTAATGTTTAAATTAAAAAATAAATAAATAAAAGAGATGGAGAAAACATAGTTATTTTAGAAACAATTCACTGTGATTAAGAATAGTGTTTTTTCCTTCCTAACCTTAAAAAAAAAAACCTCTTAGGAAAATGTTTAAGGATAAAATAATCTTTGAATTATAACAATTTTGGTGTTATAAAATAATATATTTTTTTAAAAAAAAATTATTTTTAATATCAGTACATTAAATTATCTAAATATTAATTTAAAAATAAAAAATAAAAACTCTTGAAAATACAATTGAACTGCAATATTAATTATCACTTTAAATTATTCTAACCTACCAATGATATGATGTATCAACCATAACTCACCTACCAGGGCTGGGAGGGGATTCATTCAACTACATGTTTAATAGTGATATTTATTATTTTTTAAAATATTTTTAGTTTAGAAATTCATCTAAATAATATATTTTTTTTTATCTTTTAAATTTTTTTTAACATCAATATATTAAAACATTTTAAAAACATTGAAAAAATTAATTTAAAAAAAATAATAAATCGCAAAAACACGGACAAGCTCTAAAAAAATATAAAAACCTTCACTTTAGCTGAAAGGATCAATACAAACTGAAAATGTTAATAATTTGGTTCCTTGAGACAAAAGGAAAAGAAACAAATCATGTCTAAATTGATAGTTAAAGTCGACTACAATTGATTTTTTCTTGTTTCTTAGTTCAAATGTGACAAGCACTGAATTTAAAATTGTCAAATATATTGACCAAAATGATCATTTTATTGTTTTTGAAAATGCCATCACTTTCGATCGATGACCACTAACCAGCCTTTTATAAGGCACAGATATGATTCTTCACATGCAGTCTAAAGACAGTACAGCATTTAGATTTTTTTGTAAATTAAAAAGAAAAAATTATAACTCCATTAGAAAAGTTAAAAAAATAAATCAGGGCCAAGTTAGATTACCACTCACTTGCACCTACACTATGCTAGTCAAATAATATTTTATTTAAAAATAAATTAAAATAATTTTTTTATATTTTATATCAAAATATGAAAATCATCATAAAACATTAAAAAAATTAATTAAATTTTTTAAAGTTAAGAATACTTTTAAAATATATTTAAAACCAAAATAAAAATTAGCAATGCTAAACACCCCTTAGATAATACTTGATATGTGATGACTTTGGTAAGAACACTGTTTATTTTTTTAAATTAATATTTTTTTATATTTTGATTTAATTTATTAAAAATAATTTTTTAAAAATAAAATATATATTATTTTAATATATTTAAAAATAAAAAAAATATTTTTTAAAAAAATTACTATCACACTCTCAATTATCCTCTAGAATCGTTGAAATTGTTTTCCAAGCATGCACAACCTACTAGGCTATATAGATAACATGGATAATAGCTTAAAATATCTATTTAATGAAAATATACTAAAAAATCAATAAGATATATTTATAAATTATATTTTATAAAATAAAAATTACTTTCAATTTATAAAAAAATAAGCATAGCATGGAAAGATAACCTCCACGAATCACAAATGTTTGAACAGCTAGATTATTATAGCAAGGACGACGCCAATACTTTCCAAGCTACAGACAACATTATTGGATTTCTTTATAATTTAGGTTTGTCTTGCAAATTATATTAGTTGATATGCTCGGAAAACAGTGACTATACTGTTCCAAAATATGATTCCAAAATCTTGCATAACCTGTCCAATTAATTTTGGTTAGCAAACTCAACTCCCTTCTCTATAGAAGCTTTAAGCTCCGGCTTGAGGCTTTCAAGACCCTGTTCTTCATAGTCTGAAAGAGGACCCAATCCAAAGACTTCGTCCACGCCATTCTTTCCTAGTCTTACCTGCAGCATTACGAAAGCAATCAGCTTAGAGATTTATCCTTATCAAGCCCAGCTTGTGATGTGAAACTGGTGCCTAGCTTCTGACCATTGACTCGCCTTAGAGGCAAAGAAGGGCAAATCAGTGATGCTTGATTGCACAAAGGAGCATTCAACAATATCTGGAACTCCATTGAGCCCCTTTAAGCAAGCATCAGCAAAGACAGCTCCAGCGTAGCTACAACAGGAATCAAAGTTGTTTATCAGAATAGCCATTTAGTAAATGATAGCAATTTTTTTTTTGTTTTTTGTCTGACAAGATTGATGTAGAGGTATCAGGACATTACGCCATGGAAAGTGTTGCTGATCCCTTTCCAGCCTTCGCTCCACAACCTCAGTTCCTCCATCCTGTGTTCGCCTAGTGAGAGAATTTATGTCATCATCTGATAAATTTCTGGATTTGGGAGCGGCCTGTAGGCATAATTCAACACCCCAAAGATTCAAGCTAGTAACATTAGTAGTATCTCAGAGATTTTATTTTTATAAATCACTTGAAATGGAAACAGAAGAAGGAAGCGAGATAGACCTGAGAGAAAATAGGGAGGATGGTTATGCCAGCATGCCCGCCAACTACTGGCACATTAACCTCTGCAACAGGAAGACTCAATAGAAAACTCAGGCATACATTTCCTTAAAAGGTGTACGGAAACATGAAAGCAACCTAAAGCAAGAAGATAGATATACCAGTCACGGGAACTTTAACCTTCCCAGCATAGAAAGTTTTAGCTCTGACTACATCAAGCGTTGTCACACCAAACAGCTTCCTCTCGTCAAATGTCCCTGCCTTCTTGAAAACTTCAGCAGCTATCGGGACAGTAGAATTCACTGGATTGCTTATCATATTAACCAGAGCCTAATCCCATCAATGAAATCAAAATTATCAACAATCAACATATCCAGCAAGGCAGGGGAAATAAGAGAACGAATTCTCATTTCTTGAACATTTATATCCCAGAATAAGAGCTCACATTTGGGCAGTATTTTGCGATGGCTGTGCATAAAGATTTGACAATTCCTGCATTGATTTTGAAGAGATCATCACGAGTCATTCCGGGTCTTCTTGGAACACCTGCTGGAATAATCACAATAACTGATCCGTCTAATGCTTCCCCTAGTTGTCCTTCCCCAGCATACCCCGCAACCTGACAAGACAACAACAAGCCACCCCGCAAGCCAAAAGCAAAAATGAAAGGAAGGCGAAGGAAAATAAACCATTAAGCGATGAAACTGAGTTAATTCACTTCACAGATGTTTTCTATGTTGCTCGGACTCGGGATACATATCCGACATAGGTGCGTGTCCGACATGTATTTTGATTGTTTTCCATACCTATGCCCAAATGTTTAGTTTGGGACACGACTACTGTAAGGCAAAATGAAGGGTCGAAGCAACATAGGATTTTTTAATTTCCAAAGAAACAAAAGAAATGACAAATAAAAATGGAAGGAAACCTTGGATCGAATACTTTGCATTTGTTTTCCCTGGTTGTGCAACATGAAGACTTCAAACATACCCATTAGTTGATATATAAGCATATAGCTAACAAGAGTTATGGACCTGAGCACGAGAATTGATGTGGCTAACATCAGCAGCAACTCCAGGAGTGTTGGCAATGTCATAGAGGGAGAGGGATGAGATTAGTGGGTTTAACTTCATAAGCAAAGCCAACGGCTGCCCTATGCCACCTGCTGCACCAAGTATTGCCACTTTACGTTCTGGGCTAGACTCTGTTGATGAGTATGATCGGCCAACAAGGTGCCTGGATGTGCACGGCCTTAAAGCCGAGAAGATCTTAACACTGCAGCCTTCATTTTGCAAAAAGAGCAGGAATGGAACAGGAAGAGAGAGGTAAGCCTATATTTTGCAAAAAGAGAAGGAATGGAACAGGAAGAGAGTGGTAGAAGAGAAGACTAGTTCACAGTGAGGAATCTCTAAAAGCAAAAGTTTTTAAATTTGTGGTTTTGGTTGGAGATGTCGCTGCCAATCTGTATGCTTTAGAGCATGAGCTTGAGCACGTCAGCTAATGCAAACACTTTCCCTCATGCCCGCGAATAAAGTTCGTGTCAGCTTTTGATATTGTTTCCACGGGTGCAACCAATTTTCCAAATTTTGTTTAAATTAAAACAAGTCACCAAATCTTTGTAGTCTGCTTCCGTATGGGTAATAAGAAAATGGCCAAGAAACTAAGAAAGAATAGCGGAATGGGGCGGCGAACTCAATTCAAAAACCAAGCATCATGGTCCAAGGTTTTAACAAGCTGCACACGAATTGTCTGAAAGTCCATTAAATCCAAAGTGAAAAACACAATCACTACAGGATGGAGCACCATCGTGGGATGAATTGGCACTACAATAACCTCTTCCCCATAAACGGCAACACTGTTTCATCACCAAATATTATAATCTTCTTTGTAAAATGCAGTTGTATCCACCTCATTCATTTATATTTCCTCCCAAAGGCTCTAGAAAAATCAAAACCTTTCTATATAGAACCCAACTAATAATGTTCTCAGCATTACGAGGCACAAAGAAAGCAGAAAAGGGGTGGAGGGGAGAGATCCTATGCCGAAGGATGCACGCTTCTGTCTCATCTCTTATTTTCTTGCTACAAGGCATGCATGTTCTTATTTCTAACAACGAAGTTATGATAAGCAATTGAGCTACCGAATTTTTATGTCAACGTACCTATAAAGTGTCACTTGGAGCTCTCAAAACATGAGGGAGCTGAGTGCATCAGCATATAATCCTTGTGTATCTATCTCCAATGTTGAGGGGGCTGTATCGGAACTTACGGTCTTGAGAAAGATGAGTTGGTAATTAATTGATGGAACAGAATCTGGAGAGGTTCTATGAGCTCTGTAAATAGACCAGAACATAAAAACTGAATTGCAGAAGCTAATCATAAAACTGAGTTCAACTCTATATTGCACTTTGCCATACATGTATAAACAACCTCATCGACAAGACAACTAAATTATTTCACATCACATATCCACCTCCTTTTTATAATTGACAGAGTGCTATAGAGTTTAAACTACATTATGGATGGATTATATACACAGTTAGAATTGGAAGCTGAAAGCAGTGACAGGACTAGTAAAAATTTCAGACAAAGAAAGGAATCCCATCTTTCCTTTTATTTCTAGTTATAATGTAGAAAGTGATGTCTAGGTTCGTATTCCTGTGGCTTCAATTCCTCCTATTTACCAATCGCAGAAATGCCATAGCATTAGCTCAATTACTGGGGTTTTGGAGGTCTGCTGTTTGCGTCTGAAACTCGAGATCCCCACTCCAGCAGCTCTTTACTAGTGTCATCCTTGTGCACGAAAATCTCAATGAAACAGAGAGAATCCTTTTGTTCTCCTGTTACTGTCGCTATCGCTGCTGTCAATTCATCCTCCGTGCGCACCTGTATTAAACAGCATAATCCATCAGCTTATCTTGAAGAAATCAATCTCAGTCATTAGTTGCGAATTAGCTTCATAAATTTGTCTTTTAGTTTTTTGAATGTATGTATTGCCACCCTGTTCTATGAGGTTTGCAATTCAAAGAAGTTTATGGGATAGGATCACTCGTTCTTTCTCGTGGTTAGAGAGCTGTAACTCGAGGAGTCGATAGAAATTACTCAAAGCTGCAGTTGAGAAACGATGGGACTATGGGAACAGCCGAAGGGAAATTTTTGCTAAAAGCATATTAAAAACAAGTGAAGGGGAACAGTCTGAATTTGGAGCAGAAGTAAAAACGATTTGAGGGGAAAAACGAATATCTCAAATCTATTTATGCTAACCTTTGCTGTCCAGCATTTGCCTTCGCCATTGTGGATGGCATTAACAAGGCCAGTGTAGTCCCAGTTCTTGATCACATTGTAAGGACCATCATGAATCTCTACTTCAATCGTATAACCTCCATTGTTGATGAGGAATATGATAGTCCTTTGCCCACATCGGATCATAGTTGAAATATCCTGAGCTGTTACCTGAGTAAGGAGAAAACTTTTAACCATATAGTACAAATTACATATTTTGCATTCATCAAAATGAAACAGTAAATTAGCATAGAGAAGTTATAATCATGACTAGACCACGATCAGGATTTGAAACATTTTCTTTAGGTATTGCTATGGGTTATAGCAATAAATAACAAACTGTAACCTATTTCAATTTCCCTGACGCTATCTTTATAACCACAGTGACAATTTTTTATATACCCATAATTGAATACTGGTTTACAAGTGACAGAAGTTTTGGCACTCAAACAGAGTAGATTTTTTTTCCTTTTCTTCCCTTTTGTACGTATTTCCTTAACGACACATGATGGTGAAGAGTTTCCAATCATTGCAGATGAGATACTGAAGTGTATTTCAAATGGTATCACTCACCTGGAAACTCCCATCACCTATACAGGCAATCACACGCTTATCTCTAGCTGCCTGAGCATAACCAAGAGTTGCACCAACTGACCAGCCAATTGATCCATACTGCATCTGAAATTCATACCTGCACAAAATTGTTAATGAACAGTTACCAACCTGTTTAAACTTAAATCATAGAGGAGCTTAAAATGCTCTTATTGAAGACTCCAACTTACCCACAGTTCTCAGGTAGGCAGAGTTTCTGACAGTTAAACCATGAGTCTCCGGTTTCAGCAATTACAGCAGAATCTCCCCCTAACATGTTCTGTTGAATGTTCAATTTTGTTACAACAATTGGAAGTAAACAATAATTAAGTAGGAATAAACAAGAAAGCCGATCTTAAGCATTTACTGTTCAGAATCTTCAATCAAAACTCATTTAAGAGACCTAGTAATCCATGTTATCATGGCGGCTAACCCCATACGATTACATGGATGGCGAAATGACAGTGGACGCGCAAACGACCTTTACAAGCATTTTTTCCCCCTTCTTAAATGACAAGGGACTTGAAGGAAAGAAGCCAGGACAAACATGCAAGATATACATTTAGACTTTATTAATTCACAAGAAGCATATCTGTTAATAAAAAAAAAAAAAAAGAAATTGTTTAGGCCTCTGACATAATCCAGTTAGAAATATTGCATCACATCATTCTTTCTTAGCCTTACCTGAATGTGCTTGAAGAGTACATTGACCCTAAGAGGCTCATCTTTCTCAAGCATCAAAGGCATGCCAGGAGGGACAAAGATGCGTCTGTAATTTTCCAAAGCTGAGCTGTTTTTCTTCAGTTTTTTGGCCAAAGCACTTAAGAAGTCGGCCATAAAAACCCATCCAAGCGAAAGGCCATTGCCAATAGTCACACGATTAGGCTGCACTATGATTGATTTCTCCTTCTTGATCAGCAAAGAATATCCAACAGAGCTATAATCATTGAAGGTGGGACCAACAAAAACATAGGCATCAGCAGACTCTACTATCTCCACACAGAAGCTGGTGCTGACAGCACCCCAATATGTCCCTATGAAGTGAGGGTGGTGCTCTGGCACTAGCCCTTTCCCAGAAGGCATGACAGCTATGGGATATCCACTGGCATCTGCAAATTCTATAAAGGCCTTCTGCGCCTTTGCTACTCTAAGCTTGGGTCCGCCAATAATGACAGGCTTCACAGCTTTATTCAGAAATTCGGCAGTTGCTTCAACAGCTGCTTCTAATCCTAAATAGTTGCTAACCCTGCATGAAAAGCAAAGTATAGCTGCTTCAATATCTCCATAAATATTTCATACATGTATCTATCAATAAAACTCGCCACCAAGCAGAATTACTACAACATACAAAATCTAATAATGTGTCAGTTCTTTCTTTCTTATTTAACACTATAATTAACTACTACCCAAAAACTTCTCCTCTAAGACACACACATTGTATCTACTTAACTCTGCTTCAATGTTACCCCTAAACAAAACCCATTTGTTAACTTCATGTCACTTTCTTATGTCAGCATATTATAGAAGCGCAGGGTATTGTTCATGTTCTTGTACAACCTTATTCCTTTCCTTTTTCTTCCAAGAGGGAAAAAAAAATCTGTTTGCTTTTTTCTGCAAGCATTTTATGGACAATTTCTTCTATTTGCTCATGATCGTCAGAGCTATCTACATATTAGTTCATTCCAATCACCATTATTCACATTGCTTCTAATCTACCATTATCTTACTTACAAATTGACAAATTATCAAAAAGTCGTAAGTATTAAACCTATGAATGAGCTCCCCCTTCAATTAAACTAATCAAATTGCATCAAGTTCATGAAAAACAAACAAATTATACACTCCCTATTCTAAACAAGGAGACTAGAAAAATGAGAGAAAAGACTTACTTAGGTGCCAGAAAGAATGGCACAGGTTCCCTAGAGAAAGTTGGATGAGGGATTCCAGACAAATTACAGCTTATACTAATATAAGCTGGTTTACTTTCCTTTAGAGCAGTTGAAATTGCCGTGTCAATCTGCTCATGTGCATCGTCCAAGTTGTTCACCACTGCCTGTCACACATTACCACCACCATTACCCCATTATGAGAGAACACACACAACATATACTGAAGTTCCTTGTGCACCAAAATCATTACATAAAACATAAAAAGGATCCATGATTTTCCTCATATACATCTTTCTAACCCAAATCAATGAGTAAAATTATGGACGAACAGAATTGCTTCACGTGATAGTAACTTTGCATGTATAGCATTGATTTATTATTAACTTACTTGAACGCAAGTGACCGTCTGGAAGCACCTGAGCTCCTGTGTAAAATCAGGCAACCCTGTAGTGTGATGCAGAATCCTGTTCGTTCCATAATCATTGGAATTGGGCCCACCAACAATACAGATAATAGGCAAATTCTCACTATAAGCACCAGCAATCGCATTAAGCACACTAAGCCCACCTACAGTAAAAGTCACCACACATGCCCCGACACCTTTGGCACGTGCATAACCATCAGCAGCATAGCCAGCGTTCAGCTCGTTACAGCAGCCGATCAAGTTCAGCTCTGGCTCAGCTATCAAATGGTCTAAAAGTGTCAGGTTAAAGTCTCCAGGAACAGAAAACACATCTCTAACGCCGATCTCTACCAGCCGCCGAGCCAAATGACTCCCCAAAGTGCCACTGCAAGCATGGGCAGGAACGGGAGCAGGAGCAGGAGCAGGAGTTGAGTTGTGGTGCACCGTTGAGCCAATTTGGATTGCAGAATCCATGCTAAAACAACAACACTCAAGCAAAAATATGAAAGTGGGTTACAAGTTTTAGAGAGAGATGAAAGAATTGATTGCTTTTTTTTTTTGTGGGCTTTGAAGGGTTTTGTGTGCGTGATAATATAGGTTTTGACAAGTTGGGCTTCACTGTAAAAAAGAAATGCTGGTTCTGGTTCTGGTTTTGAAAACCATGGGCAAGTGGGATGGCCATGTTGACGAGTAGAGGTCACCTTGAGAGAAAAGTAATAGTATTAAAGACGGATTTTTCTTCGGTACCTGTCTTTAGTGAAATAACAAATTATTTTGTTTCAAAAAGTCTATTATTAAATCCCTATATTCTCATGTCTGTCTTAAGTTAGTCCTTTTATAGGTTTTCCATAGCAATTAAACTGTTCATTATCTCAAATATAAATGGAAAAAAAAAATCTCAATCTCACCTAATAAAAATAAAATTAGAAAATTACTAAAAATTCTTGTAGCTTACCGGAGAAACATTCCACCACATACTAATTCTTTAAAAGTTACACTTTACACGTGTAATTGGTATTAGAAATCATGTATTATAAGCAAATTAAGACTTTTCACACCATCTTTCCAAAAATATATATATATTTTTTATAATATTATATCATGACATTGTAATTTCACATGTTTTTCTTTTATTTTATAGTATGTATTTTTTAAAATATTTTTTATTTATAAATATATAATTTTAAAAAAAATATTTTAAATATTAATATATCAAAACAATTTAAAATTAAAAATTAAAATTTTATGAACTTTATTATTACATCATCTTGTTTGTTTTTATGTTTCAAAAATATTTTAAAAAAATTAAAATTTTTTATTTTTTATTAACTTTAAATTAATATGTTTTTAGTATTTTTAAATCATTTTGATATGCTGATATCAAAAATAATTTTTAAAAAATAAAAAAATTATTAAAATATATTTTAATAAAAAAAATTATTTAAAAAATAATTATAATTACAATGCTAAACAAGCAAAGAAAACACTTTCCTGAAAATCAAGCCAAATTTTTCTTTGACTTAAAAATGCTTTTCATTGACCAATTTTTCTAATGATAAGCAAACATAAAAAAATTTAGAAAGTAATTTCTCGAAAAGTAAATTCCAAGAAATAAACATAGCCTTGGATTGAACTGGATGTCACCAACTGTGAAGTTTTGTATTTTAAAAATATTTTAAAAAAATTTAAATTTTTTTATTTAAAATTAAAATATTTTTAATATTTTTAATTTATTTTAACAAGTTGATTTTAAAAATAAAAAATATTATTAATATATTTTTTTGAATAAAAAATATTTTAAAAAACAATAATAATTATATTCTCAAATATATTATTAAAGATGCGTGGATTGGCATAGATTTCAAGTGAAAAAATTATTTTTAAAAATATATTAAAATTATTTTTTATTTTTAAAAATTTATTTTTAAAATTAACATATTAAAATAATTTTAAAATATAAAAATAAATTAATTTAAAATTAAAAAATCAAATATTTTTCAGAAAAAAACTTTTTCTCACCTTAAAAAACGTTCAGGCTGAATTTTGTGCTCCTTGAAATTGGTGCTCTCTAATTCTTTTCTTTCCTTTTCTTTTTTTTTTAGGGGGGAAAAAATTAGTGCTCTTTACTACAATCCCGCGTATTGTAAACTTTTAGGCTAGAACAGCGTAGTTAAAATATTATTTGTTTAAAATTTAAAATATTTGTAGCTTTAAAATTAATTATTTTTTATATTTTTAAATCATTTTAATTTGCTGATATAAAAATAATCTTTTAAACAAGCTGGTTTGTCTTGTTCATCTGGGTGCATAATTATTGCGAAGCAGCAAAAGTTGAAAATTGAGTGCAAATGTTTTGATGGGAGGGGGGATTCTTGCAGAGTCAGAATTGCCTCCGTACAATAATGTCTATCAATCACTCAATAGCCTGTCGGTGGCTTATTTGTTGTGACTTGACATTTAGAGTATACTTGTTAATTCAAGCAACGATATTTGTATTGTTTGATTTTCCTGTATCTATCAGGTCACCATACTTTTATTAGTATTTTTAGATATTACACAATTCTTCATATCTCTTTATTCTTAAAAATATTATTATATAACTTCAAAAAAAAATAGCTCTATCCATCTAATCTCATATTTGTAGACCAAAATAAATCATTTTTTTAACAATTATAATCAATAAACAAAAAAAAACTAAAATACAAAAAAAATAAAAAAAATATGAGATTCTAAAAACTAAACAAGTATTACAAAAACTAAAAACATATTAATCAAATTTGCAAAAACAAAATATAAATATCAAATTGTAAAAACTGAAACAAAAATGAAATACTAAATTACTAAAACTGAAGGGAAAATGAAATACTAAATTTGCAGAAACTGAACAAATATCACTCTAAAAAATTAGATTCGTGAAAGTTATATTTGAGATTAAACCTCATTCCATAAAATCATGTTTTGATACTATGTTAAATACTTTAAATTAAATAAAAAATAAAATAAATATAAAAGAAGAGGAGGCTAGGGTTTTATTGATCACTTTATTCTAGAGTTAAACGAAAAATATTATTATGCCCTTATTAAATAAAATAAAATAAATATATTTCTTAACATTTTCCCTCAAATTCATGATACAATAGTTACAAGCATCAAGAGCTTGCCAACTAGAAAATAAAAATGAGAAATGGAATGCGATTTGGTAAAAAAATCTACAATCTGTAAAGAAGAAGAAACAAAAGGTAAAATAATGGTGTCATGCTTGAGATGATAACGAGTAAAATGATAATTGATCTTAATGTGCTTAGTTCGTTCATAAAAGATTGAATTGTGAGCAATCTGAATAAAACTCTGGTTGGCACAATGCATAAAAGTAAAATGAGAAAGAGAGACTCTCATATCCATAAATAATCAACATAACTAAACAATCTCTTTGGTAATAGATATCATAACACGATATTCTGTTTTGGTTGAAGATTGAGAAATAATATATTGTTTCTTACCCTTCTAAAAAAATAAAAAAAATACCTAAAAAGATACAAAAACTAGTAATAGACTTATGATTTATGGGATTACTATCATAATTAGCATCTAAGTATGCACACAACTTCAAGGAAGAGCTAAATCAAAGTAAAAGACTCTGAAAGACTATACCCCAAAGATATCATAAAATACAAAGAACAGTTGTCCCCTGAACAATAATAAGAGAAGCAACAAACTAACTAATAACATGAATAACATATACAATAACTGAATGAGTAATAGTGAGATATATAAAGCTCCTAACAATAGTATAGTATAAAGTAGGATCTGACAACGATAAATTATTAAAAGAAGAATATCTTATGTTAACATCAATGAGAGTATCTACAGTCTTATTATCAGTAAGTCAGCCCACTCAAGAATATGTATAACATATTTTGACTAAGAAAGAAGCTAATCTTTGAGTGAGTAAGTTACATCAATACCCAGAAAATATTAAAGATAAACCAAATCCTTTATTTTAAACTATCTAACCAACTTTGTTTTTAAAACTGGTTGTGCATGTGTTTTTTTATCCACCACCATTACTTTTAAAAAGTTACGAATTAGTTGGGTGGTGAGAGTAACTTGTTTTTTCTATTGTACCTGGATTCGAGTTCTGGCGTGTATGTTTGTCATCTCCATGATGTCTTACATGCCTATTGGGTTTGCAGGGTATTCAGTGGGCCGTTGGGATTAGTCGTGGTGGGCGCAACTTGAGCTTACAAACATGCCCAAAGTCATGAAACATTAGAAGGGGTGTCATCTAAACTTTTTCATAAAGATCTTTACACCCTACGTAAATCAAAAAAAAAAAATTACGAGGGATTAGTCGTGGTGGGCGCAAGCTGGCTCAAAGATATTTTTAACATCAAGTTAAGAGATATACCACTAACGAACTTAAGCTACTACAATAAGAGTGTGAATAGTAGCTATTTTTAAAACATAGGCAAATGTCTTTTTATAATTCATACCATATTGTTGAGAGTATCCTTTTGTAATCAACCTAGTTTTGTATCGCTTAATAGACCCATTAGAATAAGTCTTAATTTTATATACTTGACAACAAACAACAACACTCTTACTAGAAGGTATAGAAATTAAAACCCAAGTTTCTGTTTTATACAAAGTAAAGAGTTCCTCATCTATAGTTTATTACCAAATAGGATCAAGAATTACCTTTTTATAGGAAGAAAGCTTAAAGAAACAATGAATAAAAGTTAAAAAGAAAGTAAATGATGAATAATAACAAGAATAAGTAAAATTTAGTAACTTTGTAGACTTACGAATGTGTATGGGTTGATATAAAGGTGGATCTATAATTTCAGTCGAAGCTTGAGGAATTGTAGAGAAGAATAGAGCTCTAGGTGTGCCGAAAAGTAAAGTATCAATACTTGTAAAATGATCAATATGAATTCGTCGAACATGAGGATGAGTATTTGAGGTACTAGGAACATAAGATGATAAACTATCAAAATTCTAAAAAAAAAAATCTATATGAATAAGATTAGATCTAGTTAAGCTATAAGTAGTGGATAAAATAGAAAAGAAAAGTATATGCTCGAGAAAAACAACATGATGGCATATATAAAGATTTTTAGTTATTGGGTCAAAATAACAATATCCCTTTTTACCTTTACCATAACCAAGAAAAATATAAATAGTAGTTCGAGATGACAACTTACTGCATTCTACATGCTGACGAATAATGAAATAAATACAACCAAAAAGTCTAAAGAAGGAATAATTAGGGGCATGCCTATAAAACTTTTTAAAATGAAAAAAACCTGAAAGATAAGAAGATAAAATTATATTAATTAAACTTACAATAGTAAGTAAATAATAAAAAAGAGTGAGTAGTTTTGACAATAAACCTATATTTTTTTCAGCAACTCCATTTTACTCAGGAGTATCTATATATGAAGTTTGGTGAATTGTTCCATCTAAGGCAAGAAACTCATATAATTTATTAAAGGTATATTCACCACCCAAATCACACTTAAAATATTTAATAATAGCAGAATGTTGAGTTTTGACAAGAGCTTAAAAGATTGTATATATTTCAAAAAATTCAAGATGATGTTTTATTAAATAAATTCAATAATAATGAGTATGATCATTAATATAAAAAAAATATAATGTCGAGACTCTTCTTTTATAGCAATAAAAAAAGATTCTCATATATTAGAATGAATCAAGTCAAATGAG